CATTAAAATAAATATTACTAGCAGTAAAAATCCTGCCGGCATTAAATAAGCTATTGAGGTATATATGGCGTAAAACAAATGAATCCAAAAATATTTTGAATGATTTTTTTATAATTTGAATATTATTCTATAATTCTACAGAATTTTATTCTTGTGACGTCATTTTGGTTCTTCAGAATCTTCATTTAATTTCTTTATTCATTTTAACTGAAGATCGTTCCATGATTCTCTCGATTTTACTGCTTTTTAAATGTAGTTTAAAGGCAGTAAAATCGACCGTGCTAACCGAAAGTTCCTCTGTGGCCCAATCGGTTAAAGGCACGTCAGGCTAAATGACGGTTCCCTATGGGATACAGGTTCGATTCCTGTCGCAGGACGAATATTTTCTATGAAAAATTCTCGGACATTCAAGCCGGTAAATGTTGTTTAATACTGTTTATTATAAACAGAGCATTTACTTAAATATTTGTACCTATAAAAAGAATGTGTAAAAATAATTGTCGGACTTTGTCCATTTTATATTCCTCTATGTTCTGTATCTTTTCAGGACAAGGGCGACTATGTCTCTCCACGATATACTATTCCTCGAAGCTCTTAGTAAACTTTGTTCTTTTTGCTAAACTTCCCACCCCTATTCCCGCCATTCATTTACACGTTCCCTCACCTGACACTTTTATCCTCGATATGTCCTGTGAGTATCAAGTTCTCCAAGCTCTCTTTCCTTATTATCGCCCAGAAATTTAAACTTTTTCTGATTATTATAGTAAGTTTTTTTTTCGTTTCCTTTTTTCTGTAGACTTTGTTGCTTAGGTTCTTCGACAATGTTATTCTCAGCATCCTTCTGTACAGCAATACTTCAGTTGTTTCTTGTTTTCTTTTCAGTCGTCAGTATTTATTCCTAACGACAAAAAAAACTGGGTGTCTAATGCTCACCTTGGCATCGTAGAAATCTACAAGTTTCTACTGGTTATATTGGCGTAGTAGACATTTTCTTTTTAAAATACTTGATAAAACAGAGGATCACTGCAGGGATCAAAGCCAATCAAAATATTCATGACGGGATAAAAATGATCTTGAACAAAAACAATCAACTTCCTCTAATAATGTTGTCACCTAGAAAGGGTTACTGAATGAGGAATAACCAAAACGGAGGTTGGAAATGAAATGGTAATCTTTAAGCATCAACAAAATAAAATACTCGCCAGCGGCGTAAAGTAGGTAAACAACTGCCAGTGGTGGACTACTTAGACAACACATTACCCTCACTTAGCATAGTGTCCAGCGTAATCATGAGGATTGGGACTTACCCATTAGTACACTATTTACATTATTCGGACTATTGTCCTCATCTTTGCCGCCATATTTATTACTACGTTTCGGCCGTTGTACGCTCCGGCCTTCTTCGGGTGGTTGGAATGTCGAACTGATAATAATAGTTCGAATAATGTAAATAATGTACATAATACCTCATCTCAGAAATATAGACAGTTACCCATTAGTGTTCATAGGTACGTTCTTGAAATAAAAGTCTTGAAATAAAGTTTAGTAAGTTTAAATCTTTAGGTATTCATTAGATGAGAAAGCCTGAATTATGAAGAAGAAGTAAAAGAAAAACAAAGGAATTTTAACGTGTCTCAGTCGTGTCTGGTTTATTTTGCTTGCATAGGAGCCATAGCGACTTTACATTGATTGTTTTGTATGTCTTTGTTTTAACCTAGAAAGGGTTACTGAATAAGGTATAGCCAAAACGGAGGTTGGAAATGAAATGGTAATCTTTAAAACATCAACAAATTAAAATACTCGCCAGCGGTGTGAATTAGATAAACCACTGTTAGTGGTGGACTACTTAACATATTACCCCACATACCATAGTGTCCAACGTATTTATGAGGATTGAGACATAGCCATTACTGTTCGTAGGTACACTATATAACAAATACTATATACAATTATGAAAAATGATGCTGGGAATGATGGCTTGGTATCATATCAACTGTACCAACAATCAAGAACTGTTTAGCAGTCTCTTTCTGTTCCAGGTAAAGATCTGGAGACAGCTACTAAAACATTATAGAATAACCTGGATTAAGTACCCCTAAAACCGAAGACGGAAGCAGAGTGCAATTTGAACATATTTCCCATGAGGTTATCATATGAAACTTTATAATTTTTCGGTGTCCACACGTATATATATATATATGAGTCAAGCACAATTATTGCCTAGCCTTCGTGGCAACTTGTCACACAGGCGTTCTTATGGAATCTTTGGGACCAGGCAACACTCAAAGCTTTTTCTTTTTTTTCTTTTTTTCCGTGAACTGCCCGAAGATAGAAAAACGGCGGAGTAGTGAAGGACAAATATTGCATTCTGATCCCATATTTACACGCCCCCATCATTCAGGGTGGCGAAATGTGACACGAGGTCGTTCTTAAAATGTGGCGCTCTTTAAACGTGTAAATAATAACATAGGACAAAACTGACCAGTCGAAGCAATCACGTTTATGCTGGTGTTGTTATCTTCAAACCTTCCTTCCTTAGAGCAACACAGAAGCTGCTGTTGCAGCTTTGGGGTCCAGGCAACAGGCAAAGCTTTTCTATAAACGGTCCGAAAACAAGAACCAAAACAGAAAAAAATAGAAAATATCCTACTTTGATACCAGACCGAACCCCGGTCCAAGATAGAAGTGACGTGTAGTTTCTTTTTTATCCTAGCCAGAGTGCAATGATAGCAATCGGTTACTTGAATTCGATGTGCATAGATTATTTTTTAAGCTTATCACACAAAGCAAGGCGGGAGTGCCAGTAGCATGTAATGGGTTACAGAGAGTGAGATCAAGACTAAAGAGTGGGTGTTTGAGGAAAGGATAAAGAGAAGGATGGGGATCAAGATTGTCGATTGACATTACATTTGAATATTTGAAGATTATTATCAGGGAAGTAAGTAGGAGGAAGAGGTTCCACTGGCCGGAAGTGCGAGATAAGAAGCTGTTGGAGTAGAAGAGACGGCTACATTTAACCGTTTCGTCAGTGAAAGAGTGGGACCGAAATGCCGACCTAGGAGTACGCTTAAATTCATCCAATTGGGTTACCCATGAAAGTAGCTCTTCAGTGCAGATGCCGTGAAAATACTTGTAGAAAAGACAGAGGGAAGCCACAGTACGTCTGTGAGAAAATGACTGTAGATTAGATGCCAATCTGGACCAATCATATTGCATATCCGTCGGGGATATGGAGATGAACAGTGGGGGCACCAGACTATATATGGCAGCAGTATTCAATGCAAGGAAGAATGGTTGATGTGTAAATTTGAAGGATGGACTCAGACGAGAAGAAAATTTCGGCTCTACACAGAGAACCAACTTTTTTGCGGTAGATGAAGCTATTGATTCAATATAATTGTTCCACCAGAGTAGACAGCAACCCCCCTGGAGTTGGGCCTCACCTATTCTGATAGAAGACAGGAAGTGTTCTCTATGGTGGGTAAATGAGAGCAGTTTCGTTTTGGAGTCATTAAAGTTTACAAGCCATTTCCCGTCTTAGACAACCATAGATTAGAGGTTCTTTTCGAGAACAACGGCCATGTTAGTTTTGTCAGCAATGCCGGATTTCCTATTGAGGCAGGAGTAAATAATAATGTCGTCTGCGTCGATGCCTACTTGGGAATTGATGTCATCAGGAAGATCGTTAATGAAGATCAGAAACAGTGTAGGATCCAGGATAGAGCCTTAGTTATTTACTATCTTTGACAGGATGCACTAATCGAGCCTAGAAAAAAGTGACAATCCATCTGTAAATAATGCCACCATTTTAATGGTTTTCTGTATAATATTTCGTCTGAGAAAAGAATGGCGGTCTTTAAACAATATTGTCATTGAAATCATGAGCAGCAATTGTCACTGCCGAGAATAAATCTATCGAAAACCATTATGTAAAATTAAAAACTGAAAGTCGTGCACATGATTTGTGTTTGAAATGCAAGCTAGACAAAATAGGTTAGCCAGAGAGAAAAAGGAAAGGAATTTATTTGACAAAAATAGGGGTAAAAATAGGACCTTACCAGACATTTGTTTAAAATGTAACCTGTGGCATATAAGATTAATTATATTGAAGACAGAAATATTGACATCGTAAAAAGTGAAAATTTAAGAGACGGTGTAAACTGTCCGGATTACAGCAATGTCTTTTTTCGGTAACAGTGAGGGACTTGCTTTCATCCAATCCTGAATGAAGTCCCCAGAGTTCTGAATAAAATCTATCAACAGTAGAACTGGAAGAAAAAGATTAGAAGGCTTATAAATGGGGAGAGAAAAAAAATAGAAGAAAAAATAGATGACTATGATAGGGGAGAAGATGAAAGTGGTAGAGAACACGAAGGTGGTGGAAGCAGGGGGGAAGACGACAAAGAAGAAGAAGAAGAAGAAGAAGAATCAAGAGCAGGAGGACGAGGAGGAGAAAGAAGAGAAGCAGAATAAGAAGATGAGAAGAAGAAGAAGAAGAAGAAGAACGAGCAGGAGGACGAGAAGGAGAAAGAAGAAGAAGAAGAAGAAGAAGAAGAAGAAGAAGAAGGAGGAGGAGGAGGAGGAGGATCAAGAGCAGGAGGAGAAAGAAGAGAAGCAGAATAAGAAGATGATGAGGAGAAGAAGCAAGAATGGGGAAGAAGGAGAAGGAGGAGGATGAGAAGACAATGAAAAATGAGTAGAAGAAAAAGAAGAGGGGGAGGGTGGGGAGAAGAAGAAGCATGGATTTATGAGAGAAAGAAATGGAAAATAACGGGAAACATTTAGAAAGAAAAAAAGGAAGGGAGAAAGAAAGAATAAATAAAAGGGAGAAAGATTTAATAGAAGAAAAAGAAGAATGGATTTATAACAGAAAGTAAAGGAAATCGGCAAATTTAAAAAGAAAAGATGAATAAACAAGAGAAAGATTTAATAGAAGAGGAAGAAGGAGGAGGAGGAGAGGAGGAGGGAGAAGAAAAAAGAGGAAGTAGAAGAAACCAAACGACGTAATAAGAAACGGCACCTGGAAGAAGAAGAAGAAGAAGAAGAAGAAGAAGAAGGGGGAGGAGGAGGAGAAGAAGAAGAAGAAAAGGTTGAAAAGCGAGAAAGGTAAACGCAAAATAGAAAAAAAAAGAGATAAATGATAATCAAAAGCTGAATATGAAAGAAAGAAAATAGGAATAAAAGAAAAAAGAAGGTGAGCAAAAAAAACAACAAAATAAAATAAGAAACAAAAAAAGAAAAAATGAGGAAAAATACAAAAACGGGGAATATCAGAGAGAGATAGAGAGAGAGAAAGAGAAAAAGAAAAATCTATGTGAAAGAGTGGTAAAGTAAGAGATAGTGGGGAGAAGGGGATGAGGAAAAGAAAATGGAAGTGAGTGAGAAACGGCGGGAAATGTTTTGAATAAGAAAGGCGGAAAAGAAACAATGTTTGGTCGCGATCTGATGATTGCGTCGTGTGCATGTCAACGGTTCATGTAACGGCAAAGCATGAAGAGAAAAAAGCAAAGCTAACGTGACAACATGTCACTTGTCAACACATTAACAAGAATGAAATTCACACGAATTCTTTCTTCCTGGCTTTCTGCTCTGTTAAAGACTTGGGCAGGAATACACAGAATCCATTTCTCAGAAGCACTTCGTATCTTGACAAACACGCAAATACTAACAATTATATCTATCTATCTATCTCTCTCTCTCTCTCTCTATATATATATATATATATATATCCAGGTGAAATGAGAACAAATGAAGTATAATTCCACTGTCCGTAACATTTAATTTAAAATTAGGCTCAATACAGACTAATTAATATATATATATATATATATATATATATATATATATATATATATATATATATATATATATATATGTATGTATGTATATGTATGTGCGTGTGTGTGTGTTTTTATAATAAAAAAGAAAGAACAGTCAGATATATAATCCGGTGTTCTTATTAATATTTTAAGTTTTACAAAACAGTGCTCATTGTAAATTTCCGAAGCATAAATATCGCTTGAGGATGAAACGAAACTAATGCTTTTAATTTAACTACATCATTAAATTTGAAGCTTTTAGCTTCGGTTTTTGAAACATGGTTATTCCTGTGTAGCGAAGAAACCATATTTTAAATCTGCCTAACAAAAACACATAATTGAATAAAATTTAAGGCGTTTAAAGGCGAGCAGATTCTGTAAAGAAACAGCACAATTTCAAAAAATCCGAATAACAATAGTCATGTTAAGAAAAGTTCAAAAGACGTTGGAAAAAAAACTAACGTACTTATGAAGTGTAACTAAATATGATATCTCCTCATGAAATATTTTTAATCATTTCACACAAGGTAGATAATAAAGTCACTAAGACGCAAAAAGCTACTAAGAATATTAGAAAAAACACTATTAAGAAGAGAGACCTATAAAAGAACAAGAATTAAGAATACAGAAGATAATGATTGACAATGCTTTTAAATTTTTGAAGATTAAAGTCGACTGTAAACCAAAAAGCCGGAAGAGATTTCCATAAGGGATAGAAGAAACTGTTAACATAGAACTTATGATTAAATCTAGCCATTTCAAATATAAAATGATGAGACCTAGCTGCCAATCTAGTACTGCGCTTAAATTCATAAAGTTCAGGTAGCATAGACGAAAGTTCATCAGGACAATTGCCATGAAAGTATTTATAGAAAGGGCAAAGGAGAACTACGTTACGTCGTTGGAAAAGTGCCTGAAGTCGAGATGCCAGGTCATGACCAACAACATGACAGGTACTTCTTTGGATGTTATCAAGAATCTCTAAATATAAGCAGGAACACCAGACCAGACCAGATGTGATGAAAAGATGAATGTTAGATTAGGTAATCTTTCTACATCATGTCGGCGGGAGTCCGAGAAGGTGCAATGATCCACTTTCATAGAGGAAGGTTAGCATCACCTTTGCTGATGGAAGTTAAAAAGGCTTCTCTTAGATGATTAAATGAGAGCAGTTTCATTACGGGGGCGTTAATATTAACAAGCTATTCTTCACCTCGTGTAAAAAAATTTATTGTAGGCCACTTTTAGATCACCTGCCAATTTGACCTTATTGAACCGATCAGAATTACTATTTATATAATTCAGTGAATTTGGCTGGCCCTGATGAGTGGTGTATCTGCATTACTTGAAGTCGGTCCTAAGATAAGTCTTTTAACTTTTCCTTATCTAGATATAGAAAACCATTTCTGACTTCCATTAGTATGGCCTCTGCTAACCTCCAGGAGAGGAAATCTTTGTACCGTCTTTGTCTCATATATTACACTGACATAAAGTGGCGCAATTATACTGAATCAATTGCTCGATTTGCTTCTCGGAATGTTGATTAACTGTGTCCGACCAGACAATTTTTCTCGGCAGAATCCATCTTAGATATTTATAAATCCACCATTCGTCCGTGCATTTAATATTCCCGCTATATTTTGTCTGGGGATCGTGCTATACTGAATCCTTGACAAAATCCAAATAAGTGTCTGTAATTATTTATATTCGATATTATTACTTATTACTTGCATTATTTACATTATTCGGACCGTTATCCTCATTTTCAATGCTATATTCACAACGATTCGATCTTTATACGCTCCGGCCTTCTTCAGGTGATAGGATTTTTTCTTCAATATTTCCCTATATCTATTCGGACTCTAATCCTTATCTTTATTGCCATATTCTCAACGTTTTGGCTGTTGTACGATCCGGCCTTCTTCAGGTGATTGGAATTTCGAACCGAACCCTTTCTTTCTATCTCCGTGGTAGATTGTTCAAGTTACACATGCCACGCCTATTCCGAATGTCTCAGTTATTTCCTTTTAACTCAACTCTCAAAGTTTTGGTTCACCACTGCTGGGGCCTGGTATTGAACTCACAATTCTTTAGGTCTATTCTAGAAGCAATGAATAACAAAAGAAAAGTAAAATAAACATTGTGATATACACTCAGGTAAAAATGCAATAATAATAACAAAAGTTACAATATGAGCACTGGTAAAAATTGTAAATTAAGACATTGAACTTATAAGTCCAAACATTTATATACAGATGTCCTCAACGACACATGGCCCAGTGGATAAAGACGTTGGTTAGATCCAGTGACTGGATCCGTACAAGGGCCGAAACGTTGTGAATATGGCAATGAAGATGAGGATAACAGTCCGAAATAATGCAAGTAATCATGATACCTTATCTCAGAGATATAGGCAGATAGTATCCTTATCGCAACGTTTTCGGCTGTTGTGCCCTCCGGCCTTCCGAATATAAATAATGTAGATAATAATAACTCCTCTTCCCAGAACTTCTGACAGAAGGGCCTGGGTATGTTATAGATTATTTCCTAGCATCTAGAGAGTCGCCCTGAAGACTTAGTTTCTTGTATGTATGTTTTATAAAAAGTTTTCATTTTCAAAACACGATCAAGATAGTGTCTCCATGTTCAAAGTTAATATTATTATGTGTTGTTTTTTTTTTTCTTGTTTTTATTAATAAAGTTTCCATTTTTATAAAACATACATACAACAACCTAATTCTTATTTAACAGTTAAAATATTTAATCCTTGCAAATGGCTAAATGTATAGCCGAAAGCACTCGGATTAAAAAAAAACACACAAAAAACAAAACATTCGGACAGTTTTTATATAATTTATCATCCGAAAAGAAAAAAAATATTAGATCGCATGAGAAATTGAATAGAAAACTAAATAAAAGCACCTTGTATTCAATGAAATGTGCACACATACACACGGACACACACATATATATATATATATATATATATATATATATATATATATATATATATATATATATATATATAGAGAGAGAGAGAGAGAGAGAGAGAGAGATGGGGGTATAGATCAGATTGAATATTTATAAACATGCAGTTAATTTATTCAGTTTAAACTGTTAATCTTCTTTGCAGGTCAATAAAAAAATAATATTCCGTAATCTTAACTATTAATCCTGTTTCTAAGTGAATAAACACTACAGTTATTGTTACTTAAAGAGTGAGTACATTCCTGTATATGGGCAGGTGGAATGTGTTGTTAGAACGGTCGGATTGTGAGACCCGGGTTCGTATCTCCCCATGGTCGATTTGTCAGGAAGGACATTTTCTGATGTTATCGCATTGGAGGGTTGGGGGGGTTGTTCCTAGCGCGCGGCACCTTTGAAAAAATGCCGGAACATCATACCACGGTGTCATTGAAATTGGGTACATGTGTTAAGTCATCATGGTCGAGGGCTTGAGCGTGCTGGCCTTGTTCAAATTGTTGATTACCCTAGATAACACGCTCTTTCCCAGAAACTGTAACTAAGGTCTGCACAGCATAGCTGCAGTATAAACCATAGGTAGGTTCTGTGGCTTGGTATGGTTTGTTTTGTTTTGGGTTATTTAATACCGACAAAATTTATTTTGCTGATAATATTTTGTCATTGTCAAAAACCTATTTCTGGTAATATTTTTCCTTCAATATTATATTGATGGTAATAGTTTTTTTTTTTACAAAAATTAATTGCTGGTAATAATTTTTATAAAGTATTTCTAGTATGAAAACCTATTTTTACACTTTCATAGTGTTTTTACCAAAGTTTCGGGGTTAACTGTTTGCCCATAGCTGGGAGCCTAACAGGTGCTACCAGCCCGGGGCAGGGTGGACCTAGGAACACTTGCAATTAAGAGGTAGTTCAACGCGCTCTTCAAAACCTTCTGATCAGAGGCCTTGCTGTTGGACGTAGTTTATCGTCAAACCCAGGACGGTGGGTTCTGTGGGTGTTAAATAAACACAAATGCGCCTGAGCAAGCGTCTCAAATTGAGACGCCCGAGTAGACGGATATCCGCGAATACGAATGGCCAGCGATATATTCCTGTATGTATCATATAGTTCTATCATACTTGAAAAGAAATCAGGTTCTCAAAATTCATCTACTGGACAACACAACATATTTTTGTTTCAACCAAATATATATGTTACCATTATTTGGCCAGTTTAGTCGAACGTATTTATCTGTTCTTAACTGTAATTCGGTCAGTCATTAACTTCTCACTAAAATTAGTCTTCGCGCTTTGACAACAAATCGTTATGCACTTTTATTACGTATTGCTGTCTTACAAAACTATCTAACATGAAGGAGAATTTATATTTGAAAATCAATGAATCTTGAAAATTAATTTCCTGACGATATTAACAGATGTGTTCTTACCTGCTTATCGGTGATAACGTTCATGTTTTCTTTGTACACACCAACAAAGAACATCATTACTCGTCAATAAAAATTATTGCTTTTCACTTACCTGCTCAAAATGCGTCAGTAGCTTTATTCTTCTCTGAAGAGGATTCTAGTAAAACAGAAAAAAATGATGTATTTTTAATGATAATAACGCTCAACCCTAAAATATTTGATATAAACTCATATTTAGGTACGGGAAAATTA